CCCGCGGCGGGGAGGTTTGGAAGGAAAAGGCTCCCCCCCCCCCCCCCAAAAGGTGAAAAGCAGCTCCTGCCACCATCGCAGCAGCGTTACCTCCTCTGCCATGGCCTTCAGCCTGGAGAGCCAGTCCTCTGCCTGCTCCAGGGCCACCAACAGGCTCGAGTCGTCGTGCTTGAGCTTCAGGGCTGCCTTCACTATCTGCTCCAGGTTGGTGCTGCGAAAGCGGTACATGTTCTGGTCCAGGTGGGTGCTGGCCAGCTTCCCCACGACGTCGGGCAGGGTCAGGCTGGGGGGATAGGCAGAGAAGCGGCGTTAGCAGCTCGTTCACCCTCTCGTGGAGTTTTGCTGTCTTTGTTATTTTTTTTTTCCTCCTTTTCAGCAAGTTTCCAAAGAATTAACAAGCCGCCGAAGATACATTTGGGGAACATGACGATGCCAAGAGCAAAGGAGCTTCAAACCGCACTTGCAGCTCCCCACGCATCACCCACAGCAGCCTGGATGGAGCCCTGGTTGATCCGCGCACACACACACACACAGACATTTTAATATAAATTGATTCAAGATGCTGGAGAAACGTTTCAGGAGTCCGGGAGGATCTTCGCTGCGCTGAGCCATTTAGAGGATTTCCTGTAAAATGCAGTGATTTATGGTGCTGCCCTTATTAACGCTCTTCTTGCTCCCGGCTCCCGCCCCGCAGCCCCCCGCCAGCCGCAGCGTTCCCCCCTCGGGCTGGGATGGGACTCCGTAAGCCCTGTTTTAATTGCATGATAAGTAAGAAGGACAACATCTCTTGCCCAGCTGTGCTCATCGAGATGTGCCACGGGCAGATGCACGCGGTGGTACCTGCCCGAGATGGTGTCGTTGCCGGTTGTCTCAGGTTAATAACATGGATTCCTTTAACAAGAGGCTTAGGGAGAAATTTAGGGGGAAATTCAGTTCTTTCATTTCTCTTAAAGAGAATTGGTTTTGCTGCTTTTTCCAAAGGGAGACGAAGCCTTGCGGGTGCTGCTAATTAGCCCGATCATTCAGTAGCATCCTGTGTGAGGAGCTATTTCTCTTAAAGAGAATTGGTTTTGCTGCTTTTTCCAAAGGGAGACGAAGCCTTGCGGGTGCTGCTAATTAGCCCGATCAGTAGCTGCTAATTAGCACAGTAGCATCCTGTGCGAGGAGCTAAATTAAAAGACCGCGCTGGGGTTGCAGCCCCAAGCCCTCCATGGTTAGACCGATCGCGCGCCGTGAACCCAGTTTTGTGTGTCCACGCTTCGTTTGTGTGTTTATTACGAGGGAGCTGCTGACGAGCTGACCTCCCACTCGTTTTCCGTGGCTTGCTTTGTCGCTGGTGCCCGGGAAGGACGCTGCTCACCTACCAAGCAAACACCACTTTGTGGCAGAAACTAGGATGTACTTCAATATCCTTGCAGGAACAGGAAAAAAAAAAGGAAGGGAAAAAATATATATATATACACACCGCAGTTGAATTTAATTTCAGAAAGATAAACCATAAAACTACACAAAAAGGAGGAAATGTGTTAAAGAGCTGTGAAAAGGAGCAGCAGAAAGGGTTAAATCCTATAGGCAGCATGGAAATGGTTTGAAGACACCTTGTTCCTGGAGATACCTGCCGCATGTCAGGGGCCTGTAACAACCACGACGGTTGTTACAAATGAAGTTAAATTGTGCTCAAACGGGACAATGGAAAAGACCACAGACCCAACCAAATGAAATGTGAAAATACCGTGAAATAGTTAAGAAAAAAAAAAAAAGCAAAAAGACGGAGGCGCCCGCATTAAAAGCCTAAAACCTAAAGACCTATCCCTGTTCAGGTGGATAAACAACACGAGGAACGTGTGCCGGTGAGCCGGAGCTGGAAGCAGCATTTTTCATAGCAAAAAAAGCTGGGAGCCGGGAGGACGTCAGGGCAGAGCCCCTCGTCGGGGTCCGTCCTGCCTTGGCGGCCGGGAGGAGAGGACTGGGAGGAAATCAGTCGAGCAGCAAATCATTCGCAGTTCAGGTAGGAAAGGACTGGACGGTTGGGCGGGATCTGTAGCTTTGTGCTTAATATTAATATGATTAGAGGACTGGAAGGAGCAACGCGATGGCAACCTCAGCGAGAGCTGGGAGGATCTGGGGGAACCCGAGATCAGCAAGTCTGACTCTTGCATCCGACAAACTAGCAGAAACCACAACTAAGAAGAGAAGAGCAGGGAGGTGGACAACCTGGACCCGAGAGGTCCCCTGCGGAGGGATGCTGGGGTACCGGTACAGCCCGCCTGGGCTCCCCGGCAGCCTGCAGCACCGTCCTTCCCCACGGGCTCTGCCACCCTGGACCAAGAGGATGGTCATCTCCTGGCCAAAGAGCTGGTTATACGGCAGGTGGCAAAGGATGGGAGTGTTGAGTTCCTCCGCAGTGATGGGTCCTGCGCTGGCCGTTACCACTCCAGGCACGAATTACGAGGAAAGAGCAAAAGGGCTGAACTGAGAACATCACTGTGCCAGCACATAAATGCGTGGTGCATCCTCGTGTGAACGTTGTGCTTCCAGCTGGGGAAAGATGCGACAGAATTGGACAAAGTACGAGGAAGACCAAAAGGACGATCAAAAACATGGACCCTCTTCTGCAGCAGGTGCTCTCCGGCCACCCCCTGCATATTTCGCCCTGCTCCCAGCTCTGGCAGGGAACGGCAGAGGAGTCAATTCACAGGCAGCTCTCTTCCGAGCTCCAGCATGGAGCAATCCTCGCGCCGCAGGAGGCACGGCCAGGAGCAGAGGGACAAAACCCACCCTTCAGGTCAGCGCTGCTGCCCATCAGCACGAAGGAGCTGCAGGAGCTGCCTGAATCCGGCTGCAATTCAACGTTTTGGGTACTTGGTTTTGCCACGACTCATCTTTCCCTAACTTTGTCCGTTTGTATGCTACTTCCAATTCTTTTCTTTTCCAGAGAGCAGCCGTCTTCCATCTCTTCACGCAAAGGTCTGGAAAACAGACGTGGACAAGGCGATGCTGGCAGCACGTCGCTGTTTTCCTACTGGAAACAGGAGGTGGGGAGACCCCCTCCCGCTGGAACCCTTTCACCGGAGAGGTCCAGACCCGGAGGAGGATGCGGAAGCACTGGAGAGCGGCGGGGTGTTGTCCCATCCCTCCGAAATCCCGATGGAAAGGAGCTCTGTCCTGGCTGAGTCCAGAGACCAGGCTTTGACAGCATCATGGGGGGAGCTGCGGACAGGTCCAGCTGCAGGGCTCAGCTCGTCCCCCCCCAGGGCACAGCGCACGGAGGGGTGCAAAACCCCCCAAAAAGCCATTCGGGCTGTTCCAGCTGCCCCCACCGTGGGTACCACCCTCGCGAGCCAGCCCTGGTCCCCACGCCAAACCCTCGCAGAGACGGAGGAGCCGCATCCCGCAGGAGCCGAGCACAGAGCGGGGCCAGGAGCCAGCAGGAACCACGGGCTTGGCACATCCACGGCCACATTTTTCCCCTCCCCCCCCCCCATAGGCTTTTTATTTTTTTTCATTTTTCCCCACCCCCCCCCCCAGGTTAATTTAATTTGTTTTGGAGGGCGCAGCATCTCTGGAAAACCCAAAGCCGTGGCTCATCCCTCAGGTCCCGTCCTGTGTGCCCAGGAGCAGGGGGGGGGTATCGACAGCCCGTCGGATGGCTCTGACCTTTCCAGCGGAGCCAGCGTGCATGGCGGACGAAACACATCTCCTTTATGAGGCTCAAAAGCAAATAAACAGGGAGGTTGTAAGTATGTGTGTGTGTTTTCTTAAGCGTGTCCTCCAGGAGGTCTGCGGAGCAGGGTCAGCTCGTTCGAGGTCTCCTTGACCGAAGGAAGAAGGTGTCTGGTCCCACACGGGTGTCGCAGGAGGGTCCAGAGAGGCTGCACCCCCGTGCCCACTGCACCCCAGCACCTCCATGACCTCTCCTTGGGCCTTTCAAAGAGCAGGGGGGACAGAAAGGGGGACCTAGGGCTTGGCAGAAAGCTCAGCACCATCTCCCCAACCTTAGGTGACTGGCACAAGCCCAGGTGGACAGCGCGCATGGTCCTGCAGGCTGGTGGCTACTGTGGAAGGGGTGGGGGACAACTGGTCCCAGCAGGTTTGGTGGCCTCAGGGACAGCCAAGAAGGCCAAATTCTCCCTCTCTGCTGAGATAAAGCACCAAGAGCCACCACACGAGCTCGGTGACCACAGAGGTCCACCCGTCACAGCCACCGGTTGCCACCAATGGGGTGTCCCAGCCCAGTGCAGGGCTGTCCCCACAGCTTGGCTGCTCTCCACCTACCTCCCAAGGCAAGAAAGCTCCAAGAGGCACGTCAGCTCTCTCAATTCCCCTTGGCAAGGGCTTGCCAGGGCTAAAAACGCATCAACGATCCTACTATTGCCCTTCCCCAAATTGATGGCATGGAGCTGCTTGCAGGAAAGTTGTGTGGCCAGGCATGGGCATGGGACGGGACGTGGAGATCACCTTCATGGGCATACCTGAAGGGGAACCATGGTCCAAAGACCCTGGTGAGGTCAGTCCCTGAAACACCTTCCTGAGGGCTGAGCTGTCCTTGGGATAAAAGGCCATGGTCATACCGCAGTGATGCTCCCCGGAGCGGCTCCTCGTCCCCACAAAGCGCAATCCAGGCCAAAAAAACAGGCTACATGGAGGGAAAGCCCATAGCACCCTCCCAGCCTCCCTTGAACGAATGTTCAAGCACTTAGAAAGGCAAAGCAGCAGCAGATACTGGTGATGCTGCCCACGGGGACGGTGGGATGGCTGCACCGTCCAGCTCTGCAACATCCCCGTCCCCGTCCCCCGGGCCAGCCGTCGGACACACAACACCCATACCCAGCCGAACGCCCCCTCCGGGTGCTCTGCACGGGTGCCTCCTACGCGGCGCAGACGAGACTCAACCAGGAAGCCACATCGGTGGCTCCTCACTCACGAGCCCCCACCGTCCCTCTGGCCGTGCTAGC